AATTTTTTTTTTGATATCCTATATTTAGTTGACATGCCCTTAATTGGAAGTGTTCGATTCGTATTAGCTCCCTTGTTCTTGTTGAACTGTATATTGTAGGATCGTTGTTACATATTATTCTCTTCCTTGTTGAGCTGTTCTCTTTACACCTAGAATTCTTTACTGTGGTTCTTCCATGTGAATGGGTTCTACCGTTTCTTTGTGATTTAAAGTTTTGGAGTTGATTTAATTGTGGTACTTTGTATTATTGTCATTGTTGTTGTTGTACTTGTTGTGGTGATACACGAGGTTTCTGTCGTACTGTAACTGTTATCTCTATTGGTGCCCTGCATATTTATTTTGGGACTACGAAAAGGTATTTCGGGAGATCCCCTGCATATTTACTTTGGGACTACGGAACGGTATTCCGGGAGACTACCATGTACTGCATATTTACATTGGACTACAGAATTGTCACGACCCAAACCGATGGGCCGCGACGGGTGCCCGAGTCCTACCTGTCAAACACCTCTAAGCATGTGTTTTAGATGTAAATCTGAATAACATCTGCTGAATTACGAAGATAACATACGTGAATGAAACCTGCCAACAAGGCATATATATGTATACATGCAGAATACAGTAGGCGAGCCGGCAAGGCTGCTATAGACAACTATACATCCAATAACTGAAAGCCGACAAGGCCACATACAACCCTATTAGACATACTGTCTACAGACCTCTAATAGAAACATAACTGTACAAAGATCGACCATGAACTACTATTATACAACCCCTATATACTTGTTTAGCTATCACTGAGTCCCCAACAGGTATAGATACATCAAAAGGTTTAACCAATTCAGGTTTTATTTCAAACTTACTAGCAACCAACGGAGTAACGTATGATAAGGTGGAACCTGGGTCAATTAGTGCATATACATCATATGAGGAGACTGATAATATACCTGTATCAACATCAGGCGATGACTCCTGGTCCTGTCATCCTATCAATGCATAAATGCGGTTCTGAGGATTGCTCGAGTTAGATGCTTCGCCTATGCCTCTACCACGACTCATTGGTTCTTGTGGACCTTGCCCAGAGGGGCGTACTGATGATGACGAACCAGTTATAGATCCCGCTGGCTGAGCTATGCTTGCACCACCTCTCATCGGACAATCCCTCATAACGTGGCCCAAATAACCACAAGTATAACAAACACCTAATCCCATACAGCACTGCCTGGTGTGCTGCTTACCACATTGATCACATCGTGGTAAGGGCAACCTCATCTGATTTGACTCACCCCTATACTGAGAACCTGAAGCCCTAAAATTCTGACCAGACCTTGAATATGAGGAACGATCAAATCTCTTACCGCCAAACGAGGGGGCGTGCTAGCCGATGGCTGAGCTGGATACCTTGGGTACTGCTGCCTCTAACCACCTCAAAACTTACCAGAAGAACCCGAAGACCTCGCTCTCTTATTCTGGGCCCTATCATGCTCACGATCGACCCTCTATTTCTGTTTACGCTACTCTACACCTTGAGCGTATGCCTGAATACGAGAAATATCCATGTCTAGCTGAAGTGAGACCGACATACAATCGTTAAGCAAGTGAGACTCTAATCCCATCACAAACCGGTGAGCCCGATCCTCCATCTTAGATACAATAGTGGGAGCATACCTAGCCAATGAATCAAACCGAAGGCTGTACTCCCGAACACTCATATACGTATACATACAGAATACAATGGGCGAGCCGGCAATGTTGCTATAGACAACTATACATCCAATAACTGAAAGCCGACAAGGCCATATACAACCCAACAAGACATACTGTCTACAGACCTATAATGAAAATATAACTATACAAAGACGAGACTGAGCCACGTCATACCCATATATATATATAAACATATTGTACCAAAAGAATAGCTCCGGTTTAAGTGGAGTACGCCAACTCTCGCTGATCAGGGATCCTAAGAAGGGGGACCGTCATCTTGCCTACCTGCACCTGCGGGCATGAAATGCAGGCCCCATAAAATAGGGCGTCAATACGAAAAATGTACTGAGTATGTAAGGCGTGAAAATTAGTACGTAAAAGACATAGATAAAATATAAAATATAGAAACACGTCTTTAAATCTGAATAACTTTGTAAATTCTAAAACATTTATAATGTCATGCACGTGGGTATAAATGTCGTGCCATGCATAGGTATGGGTGTACATTATATCATCAAGCCACTGAGGGCATCCCATCATATCGTCTCGGCCGCTGTGGGCAACATCATCAACGTATACCAGCTGATTAGGTGGTGATACGTATATAACGCCGTAACCTTTTTCCATATCCCATATACATATATTTACATATATACGCGTATATAACGCCGTCTGATCGTGGGTTAATGCACATGTATAAATGGGTAAAATACATGAAAAATACGTAAAAATCTCAATATTCCTTTCGAATAAACTTTTTTTTCAACTGCGTATTATTCTAAGACCCATGAACAGAAGATAATAATAATTATCATGGGGAATCAAGAATATAGACACCCCTAATATCTCTATGAATAAAGTAATTTATGGAAACTGTGCGTTTGCTCGTTTCTTCAGTATAATTTGGACCATGCCAAAAAAAAAGAAGGAATAACATTAATATACCTGAAATAGAGAAAACTCCGTATAATATTCCTGACGAAGATTGTACCATACTCTTTTAAAAACTTGAAATTAGCTTCAACGGAATTTAGTTACGGACCATGCGAAATTAGCTTTTGATTCCTTGAAATTTCGAGCAAAATTGCTTCGAAATTTTGCTTCTGCTCTTAACGTTTTGTTGAACCAAAGACAAAATGGATTTGATATTTTGATATCAAGGACAGAATGTCTTTGTTGAACCACAGAATAATAAGACTTATGTGTAAGTCTTAGTTTTGTTACACTTCCATAATTAGCCACGTGGCAATAATGACCAAGAGTCATATTTAGCCATTGTGGCTTTATGCTACGTTGGAGGTATAATTTTATAATAATTTTGTTTATCCACTTATTAATTATCTGGGTAATGTCATGTTACCCAGTATATTAATTACTCGCATAATTTTAAAAAATTACCATAATTACTTAAAATTCTACTTATTTTCAATATACTTTATACATTATACTACCGTGGTCATATGGTACCTTGCATGGTACTAATTCATAATTATCGGGTATTATCGCTTGACCCGTATTTTATCTAAAATTGGTCACTTTCAACAAAACTCGTTTTCTTTAATACGTGTACCCCTTTATCCTTCATGATACTTCTTTATCGCTTGTTATAAATAGAGTAAATGCGTTAACGTCAAGATAATATCATCCCCAAGTCTACGTCACTTAATTGAAGACGAAACTTTTAACGTACGAAAATGTAAGATGTAACGGGAACGGTATTCCGGGAGATCCCCCAGCACTGCATATTTACTTTGGGATTATGGAACGATATACCGGGAGATCCTCTTGCACATTTACATTTGGGACTACGGGACGGTATCCCGGGAGATCCCTTGTTGTTATATTTGTTTCTGAGCTGGTGATCTTCTATGCTTATATTCTTTTAAACATTCTACGTGTTGTCCGTTCTTTTCCTTATACATACTAGCTAGTATGAACTATATTAGGACACTTGCACAGGCATGCACGTAGCTAAGCACCTTTATCGCACCCTTATCGATAAGAGGTTTTTCTCAATATTGCTAAGTATAGACGCACGCCCTTGTTTACTTGCCTTCCATGCGAGAATGGCTCTATTTGGTACGTGAGTCGTCAGTGCGGTTAGGAGGTATGATGAGGGCACAAGATGCCAAGTGTTAGGGTTCAGGTATTGAGACCCGTATTGTATGGTTATGAGATGAGGTGTCACAAGATGATTTATATTTGAAAGATATTTATTTGAAGGGAGTATATTTCAAAATGTCTTTATTGGGAAGGATTATATTCTAATGATTTCTATTCGTAAACTTATGAGTGAAAGATTTGTACTTGAAGGATTTGACTAAGTTATTGGAGTTTGTTGGCTAAGACCTGATGTGAAAACTGCTACTGAGTTATTACTTGTCTTTACTGTATTTGTGATTTCAGATTTGGGTTGTATTTCCGTTCACTCTTATGTGTCCTTTTTATGGTGTTTCGGTGTTACTTGTTATTTACTTCCTTATTGCAACTTCTGTATTATTAACCATATCACAGAGTCTTTATGTAGAAATCATGCATTGTTGTCCCTATACTTATACTTATTCAGTTTATTAGACCAGTAGGTGTCTTGACTATTTCTCGTCACTACTCCACCGCGGTTAGTCTTGATACTTACTGGCAGAGCTGTGGTGTGCTCATACTACACTTCTGTATATTTTTTGTACAGATCCGGATATTTTGTTCATTAGTAGTTGTGCGGATCGTTGCTGTGGAGACTCAAGGTAAACCTGTTGTCGTGTTCGCAAGCTTCAGAGTCACCTTCCTAATTTTGTATTCACACTGTTTTACTTATTTCCAGACAATTGTATTTAGAAGTTGTAGTAAACTTTGTAGAGTTTATGACTTGTACTATCAGTTTTTGGGAAATTGTAAATTCTATAAAGATTTCTATATTGAGACTATTAGACTTTCTTTATTATTGTTGATATTTAGTAAATGTTAGGCTTACCTAGTCCCTAAGACTAGGTGCCATCAGAAAACCCAACAGATAAAAAATTGGATCGTGACAACATACATTTTTCTTTGATAATGGGATTCTTCACCAAATCACTATTCCATATACCCGTCAATAAAATGGGGTGGTTGAAAGAAAATATATACATTTGTTAGAAACCTCTATAGCCTACTTTTTTCAATCTCACTTCCCGTCAAATATTGGGGTGAATGTGTCTTGTTTTGGTACGACGAAGGGTATTCCGATAAATAAATGACAAATATGAGGGCAAATTGTTGCCCACCATTTATGGCTCCACGTGTTATTGGGTGATATTTGGCTGCTTCTTTGTAAATTTTGGTAGCAACTTTTAGGGCTCGTTTTCTCTCTCTCTCTCTCTCTCTCTCTCGCTCTCTCGCTTCTCCTTCCGCTCATTTCTCTTGTTCCTTTTCTCTCTCCAGTGAGTTCTTCTTCCTCTTCCTTTTTGTTCGGTTTGTTCTTTTCAATCTTTTACTTTATTTTCATTTTATCTTTTATTTTGTGTTATCTTATTTCGATTTATTCACATGCATGTGTTCATTTAACTATTTCATGTCAATCCTTGGTAGTTAGGACACCTCAATAAGAGTACAGAGACCCTCTGTAAAGAGAAAGTCCCCCAAGAACAGTACAATACTTATGTTCTGCAATTTTTTTTGGTTTTCTTTCAACTTACTGGTGTTCTAGCATAAGACAATTTTTTTTGTATAAAAAGACTTAAATTAATCACAAAAAAAATGTACCGTCCAAGTATTAGGCGATTGATGTTTAAGTATTCTAACTCAAAATTAACCGCTCAACTGAATTCGCATTTATTGGATTTTAGCCCTTATTGTGTTTGATGAAATATTTCAACTGATGTTGATATTTGATATAGGTGGCCCTAAAAATCTGTTTGGGAGTTATAACCTACACTTCAGATAAAAATCCCTTTCAAGAATTGTTCATAAAGAGGTATGAGCTCTCATAATCAAGTTTAATGTCGTTCTTCTCTTTTATGCCAAAACACTATCAATCCCAATGTATTTTTCTTTCCTCTTTCCTCATGTAAAATTATGCTTGAGCTTTGCAGCCCAATTGGTAGCACGATGAACCAGGAATTAGAAACCTCGGGTAAATCTTTTAGTCCCTTTTAATTATTTTAGTAGTTTTTAAATTTTTATGTTACATAAAATTGAGAAGTTATACTGGAGTAGGATATAATCCCTCACTTGACACTTTACTTTCGTTCATTTGAGGTTTTGTATCTACGTCATTTGTCATGGTCCCTATCCTTTAGAGTTAAGCCTCATTCTTCGTGAAGAACTTTGTCTGATTTGTTTTTGATAATGAACTTTGTCTGATATCTTATGAAACTAAAGCTGGTGACCAGTCTTTATTCAACATTTTCTACTCAGAAAGGACTTACTTTTGTATCTTCTAGAATTCGATAACCAATTTTCATGGTATTCTTTTTCACAGAAGTACACACACATATTTTTTCAAAATGAAACTCTTTATTAACTTATCATATGTATGAGCAGATATGCACATTGCAATCCACATCCCATGGCAAGTTGTTAACGTCCATAATCAATTTGTAGTTGATTTGCATCAAATTTCAATCATATAAACCTACTTTACAACTTTCACTTGCAAAAAACTGATTTAGTGTTGTTGTCTTATGAAGCGAGTGGAGTTCTATATTTCTTTTCTTCATAGTTGTCAAACTTTGAACAATGAACATAGCTAAATAATATGTTAAGCCCTGGGAAGCTTAAAGCTCAAGTTAATTAATAAGCAGTTGTATGTTGATCGGAGCTCGAACTAAGTTTAGCTCAAGGTCAAGCCTTGAACAAAAGTACTATTATTGATACTTTCTTTTCAGACAACAATCATAAAAGAACAAAAAAGTCTAAAAGATACTTGTAACATTCATATCATTAGAGAAATAATATTCCCACATTCATTTATAACATGATACAGATCAAGTGAAAACCTTAGTTGTTAATTAATCTCGACTTCTTGATAGTTAGGTCATTTTAATTAAGTTATCAGAATATGGTAGTTGAAAAATAAATCTACCTTTATTGGTTTAATTCAGAGATCTAAAGTTAAGGTGTAACAATAGAATACAACTCACTAATTTTAGTGTGCTTACCACCTTCATCAACATGCTTTGACTTGGAACTTAAAAGTTTCAACCTTTTTTGGGTTAAAAATTTCAATTACTTTAGCGATTCCTGATTCTTGCACTTTTTGTTCACATGATTTTTACATTTTTGTTTTACGTTCTATATAAGGCCAAGAAAATTTGTTATATGCATTTGGTTTACCTTGGTTTTCTCCGCGAAAAGAGCTTGGGTTCTCTGTTGTGCAAGGATACCTTGTATTCTTATAATAAGTTCGTTCTCAGTTTTTCACAACTTCATTCTATCACGCGTCAGTATGTGCTTAGTATTTTTATCTTTCAGCTGGTCATTATGAAGAATGAGAATTTCGTGGGTGGAGCTAGAATTTTCAGTGGATGTAAATTGTCAAACCAATATGAAGCTATATATAGAAGGTTCAGATGGTTCTTATATCGAAACAAATGAGCACACTGATTTAGCTTCATAGGACGATCACTTGGTTTTTGTTATAGCCAGACAGAGGATATATTGGACCATTTTCAAAGTCTACTAAAAACAATCTATTGCATACAAAGCACATTCAAAGCCAAATTTTTTACAAACTTTCCCTTCTCTACAATAGAACTTTTTTTCCCTCTATTTTTCCAAAATAAACCTAGAAATACACAGATAGAAATAGTTATAACATACCTGATAGAGGTAGTGAGGAGGAATCCAACATCAAGGAAAAATAAGATACATATTATCTAGATGTAATACAATTCTTTTGATATTGTTATATCATCAAGGTGCCTTGAAATACATAAATGGAAACATTAATATACTTGATGTCAGCATCTCTTAGAGCTAACACATAACCCCAATCAGCACCGCAAGCACACATGTAGTTACAACAACAGATCAGATGCAAACTATATCTAAATTAAAAAATTGCATACGAAATCTTATAAAAGAAACTGATTTAGGAAAAATTTTCAAGGGTATTCTCAGCAAGCTGTAAGAAGAGAAGTAGAGTTCAGAAGCTGGACTCAAACTGAAGCAAGCAAATGTAGGTGACACCAAATAATCCACAAGTTAGTTTTCTTATTTGGTGGAGAAACATTATATCATTTGTAAAAGTGCATGAGAGATTTTTTCTGCTGAAATGGACAAAAACAAAAAGTATAAATTCCTAAAACCTAGAGTCATTTTTAATGCAATATAGAACAATACTCTATTGTATTGATGCAGAGGACTAACTGATAACATGACCAAACAAATAACAAAAGCTCACTCCAAAGATATATTAATCCAGAATCAACAAATAGGCTCCAACCCGCTGCGCCATGTTCTTTCCCTAAACCAAAAGAAATGCATGTCATCTAGAGAAATGTAACGGCTACTCTGGTTATCCATTTGGAATTGGAACAATTGGAAAGAAGAATCTAGAAAAGCAGTGGCAATAATGATGAAACACTTTTGAGCTATTAAATAATATTCTTGATGAAAACTTGTGAAAATGCCAAAAACAAATGCGACATACCTGAGTTTTTAACTTCTACAATAAACTGTGCACTCAGACTAACACATAGTTCAACTTCTATTTTTCGATTATTGAGATTGGAGATGGAATAAGTGTTTTCTATCTCAAAGGACACATCTAGAAGTGATGGTCTTGATAGGGTATCCAATTATCACTACGAGTTGTAGATAAAGATCTCAAAGTAGCTAAGATTTGATATTACTTATAGATATATTTCTCTTCTGCAATCTGAAGTAAATTTCCCGGTTGAAATCAGGCGTGGAATATAGGAGGACATAAGTCATGCTTCTTTAGCCTTGGACAAAGTGCTCAATTGTCTGATAATAATACTACTTATAATTATATTAGCTCATTGCGAAATAGATGTTGGAATAACTGATTTTTGGTATATAGTTGTGATGACTTCATTGGATACTTCGTAATATTTGCTTTTTTCTATGTTAGCCTCTTCAAATTATTTTGCTACTTTCCCTGACGACATGGATGAACATGTGTCTCCCTTTGTGTATAAGTTATGTGTAAAAATTGGTTATTTACATACAAGAACTAATTTAGCAAAATTTTGTTATTCCACCATCTCCGACAAAAGGTCATTTACTTTTTTACTTGCTAATTCTTCCTCTCGGTTCATTATGAATTCTTAGATGTGCAACAATGAAATCACATATCAGTCTATAGAACCAAAAAATCTCAGGTCTATTGATAGAATTTCAACATTTTCATCTTGTCATATCATTACTTTCAGCAATTGAATTGCTTATGAACAGAGATGGCAGCATCAACTTCAGTGGATTAATTGTGACATGTTGTGATCAAGTTGAAGAGTACATATGTTGCTGAAGCTTTTCGAAAAATAATAGATATAAGCTCCCCCCCTACAATTTCATGGCAGTTATCTTTGTTCTTTCTTTTTCATTTCATATGTTAGATTTATATACTAACTGATGCATTCCGTTGGTGTGTAATAGGAGTTTATGAAGTGTTGTTGGAAATAAATAATGGTTGTCCAAGAAAGACTTGGAAGCCTAGATTGTACCTTGGAGTAAAGAGTGCTTAGGGTCCTTTTGGATTTCCAAGTGCAATGAACAAAGCCATAAGTGAAAATGCATTGTGGAACTTAGTTTGCTCTGCAATACTGCGTGATTTTTGTACAACATGGAAAAAATTGTTCAAGAACAATGGAGGTACTAGAGTTTTAAAAAAAAATGGTAGTTAACTGAGCTAAGAAACTAGAGTAATTTAGAGAATATGTGTGATAAAGTTTGGCAGGAAGCGGAAGAGAGACATGGCTACTTGGTCTATATATTTTAATCTGTTCAAGATGCATATTTATGACTTTTTAAAGATCTATTTGGCCATTGTAACATTCAAGTTGGTTTAGACATTTCAGCATATACTTGCAATGTGGTATTTTAACTGAGAATATTCAATTATAATTAATACATAATTTTTTTGGGTTGTTGTAGGGGTTGTCCACTAACTTTTGTTGAGAAGACAAATCTAGCATGGAATTGATTTACCCAATCTCTCTCACTTATGTTGGGCTCGTGCATTACATGGGCAACTCTTCTAGTATATGATAAATAGGATGTCTTCTTCTGTCTTGGGGAACATGTCTCCTTTTCAAAGGTTGCATGTGTCTCTCCTTCCTATGACAATCTCAAATCTTTTGGTTGTCTATGTTATGCTACCATACCCAAACCTAATAGGGATAAATTCCAATCTAGGGCCATAAAATGTGTCTTTCTGGGGTATCCCTGTGGTAAAAAAGGTTACAAACTCCTTAATTTCACCAATCATTCTGTTTTTTTTTTCCAGAGGTGGTATTTCATGAACATGTTTTTCCTTACTCTTCACCTTATTCCCCAGTACATCCTATTCCTCCTGTTCCTTTTGTGGATTGTGCCTCCACTCCTTCTCCACGTTCATCTTCTTCACCTGAATCTTCTCCTACCTCTCCTCTTCCTCCTCCTACATCTGTCCCTCCTACCTCTAATTCTCCTTATGCCACTTCCTTGCCAACTTCTCCTCTGCTTAGGAAGTCTAGCAGGGTCTACCACACTCCCCATATCTTAAAGACTATGTTTGCTCCTCTGCCCTCTCCAATCCTGTGTCTGGGACATCCAAGGTGTCTCCTGCTGAGCTACAAATGTATGAACCTTAGTTTTACCAGCATGCTGCCTCTCATCCTACTTGGCAAGAGGCCATGCTGCAAGAATTTCAAGCTCTAGAGGTAAATCATACTTGGGAGATTGTTCCTCTTCCTCCTCACAAGAAGCTTATTCCCTACAAATAGATTTACAAGATTAAGCAGAAATCTGATGGCTCTATAGAGAGGTACAAAGCTAGATTGGTTATTAGAGGTGACACTCAAAAGGAACGCATTGATTATACTGAGACCTTCTCTCCTGTTGTTAAGTCCACTACCATCAAGTGTCTTCTTTCTCTTGCTGTTAAGAGGGACTGTACTATGTATCAACTTGATGTGAATAATGTCTTTCTTCATGGTGACCTACATGAAGAGGTGTATATAAAACTTTCACTTGGTCTTCAGATTTTTACTTTTGTGGCTTCTGATTCTTCTCCCTTGGTTTGTAAGCTCAACAAGTCACTTTATGGCCTCAAACAGGCTTCCATGTAGTGGTTTTCCAAGATGTCTGAAGCTTTGCTATCTAGAGGCTATATTTCATGTAAGAATGACTATTCCCTCTTCACCAGGTCTTCTAATTCCTCCTTAACAATCATGGCTGTCTTTGTTGATGATATATTGCTTGCTGGGGATGATGTAGCTGAATTTGACAGTCTGAAATCCTTCTTGGATTCTCAGTTCAAAATCAAAGATCTGGGCTCTGTCCATTATTTTTTGGGTTTGGAGGTTACAAAGAATAGTCAGGGTTATTTGGTCAGTCTACAGAAATTTGCTTCTAACCTCTTCGATGAATTCAACTGCATGCATTTCACTCCAGTAGTGACTCCCCATTGAGTCATCTGTCAAACTAACTTTTGACATGGGCCAGCCACTTACTGATCTGGGCTTTGTCCATTATTTTTTGGGTTTAGATCTTACCAAGAATAGTCAGGGTTACTTGGTCAGTCAATAGAAATTTGCTTCTGACCTCTTGGATGAATTCAACTGCATGCATTTCACTCCAGTAGTGACTCCCTATGAGTCATCTGTCAAACTAACTTTTGACATGGGCGAGCCACTTACTGATCCTAGTCTTTATAGAAGACTTGTGGTGAAACTCAATTTTTTACAGCATATCAGACCTGATATTGCATTTTCTCTCCAACATTTGAGCCAATTCCTTCAGGCTCCTCAGGTTCCCCAAATGCTAGCTGTCATACATATTCTCAGGTACTTGATGAATGCACCTTGGCAAGGCATTCTCCTTTTAAAGTCTCCTGACACTTCCCTTGTGGCATATTCTAACTCTGATTGGGCTGCCTGTACTCAGTCTCGCAAGTCTATCACTGGTTTCTTTATTAGTTTTGGTGGTTGTCCTATTTCTTGGAAATGCAAGAAATAGCCTGTAATTTCTCTTTCCTCTACTGAAGCTGAATATAGAGCTTTGAGGAAAGTTGTGGCTGAAATCTCCTGGATGGTTCGATTATTTACTGATCTTGGTCTGATTTTTCACTCTCTTGTTCAGGTGTTCTATGACAGCCAGGATGCACTTCATATTGCCAAAAATCCTGTTTTTCACGAGAGGACTAAGCATATAGAAATTGACTGCTATTTTGTTCGTGATTGCTTACAGTCTGGCTTGATCTCACTTTACCACATTTCTACTGCTGACCAGCCTGCTGATATTTTAACCAAGTCTCTTGCAGGGCCTCTTCACCATCATCTGCTTGGCAAGCTTAGAGTGGCTTCCCCCTCCAGCTTGAGGGGGTGTTGGCTGTCTAAAGTCTCAGACAAGAGCCCAGTAGTTATTTTACTTACACAGCACTTAGGCCCATTCTTAGATACCGGGCCCAAATTTGTAACAAAAGCCACAAATGTAATAAATATATACATAGATTCTTCTGGAACAAATACACATTACATTAAATACGCATTCCTCTATCGTATTAATTATTTCAATTTGAAATATTAACTATATCAAAGTCATGCACAAACAGATCCGCATAGATTTAAAAGCATTCAAACTCAGCCAAACTCAACAATAATTTATACACTGTACTTTTTCAAAATAGTTGGTTTAACCCATCACATTCACACGTAAGCTTTAATATGCTCCAGTCTCCCCCACCCCATGTTGCGATCTCTCCCTTGTATTATTCTTCATTATTATTAGTGGGTACATTTATCCAATTTTTTGGGACAAAGGGAGTGGTCTTCGTGAAGGACAAGATGCCGGCATCGAGATTGAGATGATTTGCACGTGTTAAGAGGAGAAATATTGATGCATGAGCATTTTGAGAAGAAGTCGAGGTAGGCTATAGACGTACTGGAGAGGGGGTGACTAGGTAGTACATGAAACTGCTTCAGCTTATGGAGGACATGACCTTTGATAGGAAGGTGTGAAGGGATTAAGATAGAAGGTGTAACGCCCCAACCGATTGTTTTGAGTATTGATACTTCGCTCGGTTGTTTGAGGGTATGATTAGCTTTGTATGATGTATTATGACTTATGTGAATCGTCGGTTTTGGTTTTCAAGCTATTCGGAATTTGATTTGGAAGAATGATTCTTAGCCAGAAGCTTTATATTTGAAAGGTTTGACCAAGTTTGGCTTTTTAGTATTTGATATCGGATTGGATTTCTGATGATTTCGCTAGCTCCGTTGGGTAATTTTGGACTTAGGAGCGCGTCTGGATTACAATTTGGAGGTCCGCAGTAGAATTTGACTTGAAATGGCAAAAGTTGGAATTTTGGAAAAGTTTGATCGGGAGCGGACTTTTTGATATCGGGACGTATTTTAATTCCGAAAGTTGGAGCAAGTCTGTAATGTCCAATGTGACGTGTATGCAAAATTTGAGGTCAATCGGATGTGATTTGATAGGTTTCAGCATCGGTTGTGGAAGTTTGAAGTTTCAAAGTTCATTGATTTCGAATTGAGGTGTGATTCGCCGTTTCAATGCTATTACGTGTGTTTGGAGGCCTCGAGTAGGTTCGTGTGATGTTATGGGACTTGTTGGTATATTTTGGCGGGGTCCCGAGGGACTCGGACGTGTTTCAGATTGATTCGGGCTATTTTCCTTCATTTTTTGCATTGCTCGTTCTGCATAATTTTTAGCTTCTGGTTTCCTTAATTGCGATAGCGGAGTATAGATCGCGTAGGATTGTTAGATGGCGGAGTAGGATTTGTTCATCGCGTTTGCGAGTCCAGAGCTACATTCGTGGAGATTGAGGCATTGGTTCAATGCGTTCGTGAGCCTGCTGATGCGTATGCGTTGTAGGAAGGAAGGCTTGAGGATGTCAGACGTTTGTTCTTCGCGATCGCAAAATATGGTGTGTGATTGCTTAGCTCCAGGAGTTTTGTTGATCGCATTCGCGTCTTTGGTGCTTGATAACTAGGGATTTGACGCATTTTATACTCCTTCTTGCTCATGCTTTGATTAGAAACTCATACAAAATAGTCCCAAAAGGCTCATAAATTGTGCTTGATTGCAGGTTTGATCAACAAAGTGACAAGATGTCAAAGATCAGCTCAAAAGGAGTGAAACTTGCACAAGTACCAAAGACAAGACAAGCTCAAGCAAAATAGGTCCAGTGCGGCCGCACACCACTTTGTGCGATCCACACTAGGAGGTTCAGAGAGCAGGTATTCAGGCTAAAAGTCCATGCGGCCGCACTAGATTTAGGGTTGTCCGCACTGGAGTCCATGCGGCCGCACTACCATTCTGTGCGGTCCGCAGAGCCAAGATTCAGAGAAGTTGCAGTTTGGAGCTTTCAAGCCAATACGGTCCGCAGTCTATTTTGTGCGGACTGCACTAGAAGTCATTGCAGCCGCAGTCCATTCTGTGCGGTTCGCGGAGCCTGAGTTCAGAGAGCTAGATTTTGGAGCCAAGAGTCCTAGTGCGGCCGCAGTCCATTCTGTGCGGTCCGCACTAACCCCGCAGGGGCATTTTTGTCCAGATTTTTCAGCTTAGTATAAATAGATCATTTTTCCATTTTTAGGTTATCAGATATTGTAATAGCATAGCTGCGCTCGTGGGTCGACTTTTCTTAGTAATTTTGGGCAACTTTAACTACATTTCATCATTGAATCTTTGTATTTAGCTTAGCAATTAATTAATATGTGTTTATCTTCATCTATTTCTTGTTTTTCTTCTTTGAATATGAGTAGCTAGACCCCTAAGCTAGGGTTGTGGCTCAACCCTAGTGTGGGTAATTGATGGGTCTTGTATTTTAGGGCTAAATTGACTATGGGTGTTTGATAT